TGGTTTGAGGAGTAGAGGGTGGAACACAACGATTCAATACTAACAACCTAACTATTAAGAGAAAGTGGAGGAACATTCCACATCATCACGCCCCCCGCAAGTTGAGGCTCGAAGAGTCAATTCTTGGAGCATAACTTGTTGAAGGACATCCGGGGTAAGAGTTTCGTGAGCACGTCTGCCAGTTGATCAGGAGCTGAGAGATAATGTACACGTAGGAGGCCGTTGCTGACTTGATCACAGACAAAATGGAAGTCAAACTCCATATGCTTGCCCGGTTGTGGAAGACATGTTTATGCGCGCGAAATGTGGCACCCAGGCTGTCACACCAAAGTACCAGAGTCGAGGCTATTTGTTGTCCCAGCTCATTGAGTAAAGAGAGCAACCATAGAACTTCAGAAGCTAGTGTGATGAGGGCACGACACTCGCATTCAATGGAGGATCGGGCAACGGATTGATGCTTACGAGTAGAGCAAGACACAAAGTTCGAACCACAAAAGACCGCAAAGCCAGTGACGGACTTGCGATCCTTGGAACAGGACGCCCAATAAGCATCAAAATAGCCATGTATATGAAGAGAGTGGGACTTGGAGAAGACAAGGCCACGATCGAGGGTGGCTTTGAGGTAGCGCAGAATCTGTTTAACAGCTGCCAACTAATTATCAGTCGCAGAATGCTGAAACTATGAAACATGGTTGACTGCAAATGAAATATCCGGGTGTGTGAAACTTAGATATTGCAGTCCACCGACTGGACTGCGATAGAGGGTTGGATCCGAAAACAGAGGTGAAGAATCCATGACAGAAGTCTCAATAATATCGTCAGTAGATGGAGTGGAAATGGCATCGGCTTATGATATTTTGGCACGCTCAAGCAAGTCCAGAATGAATTTTCTTTACTTAGAATCATGCCTGATGGTGAGCGACGGACCTCAGACAAGGGCCCCAATTCACGGAGAGCAAATTTGTCTTGGAGAAATGCAAATAGTCGTTGAATAAGAGGATTGTCATTGCCCATGATGACGATGTCGTCAAAATACACCAGCATGTAAACTCGAACGGAACCAGTCTTGTAGATGAACATAGAAGGATCTGTGCGAAAGACCAAGAAAGCAAATCGGGTTAGGGCGGGAACAAGACAGTTAAACCAAATGCGTGGCGCCTAGCGGATTCCATATATTGATTTTCAAAGCCGACAAACATGATTCGGTTTGTCCAGATCAATGAAACTCGGAGGCTGCAACATATAAACCATTTCCTACAACTGACCATAGAAAAAAACATTAGCAATATCAATTTGATGGAGTGGCTATCCCTGACCAACCGCGAGACCAAGAACGAGCCAGAGTTTAGCCAGCTTGAGGATCGGGCATACATTTGAGAACTACTTATGTAAGTATTATGTACTCCGTAATGTTGCTCATTGTTATCTTTAGAAAGCAAGAGGGCATGGCTTATGTGCCTATATACCTTCAAGTTATCTTGTAACTCTATATGTCTAGTAATTTAGATGTTCTTTTCTCTATAACTGTTGCTTTTGTTCCTCCATCCCAAATGAGTTCATTTCTTAAGTAACATACGTTTCTATTGCACTTTTGTTCCGATGTTCCGATCTACCAAAAATCAATAATGTACCTTCATGACGTCCAAATTAATAAGATGAGAGAGGAAGAGGAAGCCCTGCAAGTGTTTAATGGTGGTAGAGGAAGAGGAGGCAGAACTGGATATCAAGGCAGGGGAGGAAGAGGGCGAGGAAGAATCTCGAATAGGGATTAGATTGAATGCTACAAGTGCCATAAGATGGTACATTTCAGTCGCGAATGTCCTGAATGGCAAAATCACTACTCAAGCTGGGATCCCTCTGACATCAAAGATGATGTTCTTTTAATGGCCTACTATGAAGAAAAGGTTTCCAGTAGAGAAACCTTGAAGAAGGATGGTGACTGGTGGTTTCTTGACAGTGGCTGCAGTAACCACATGTGTAGTGACAAGAGTTGGTTCATTAAACTCGACACTGGCTTCAAAAGTGATGTTAAACTAGGCAATGGAAGCAGGCTAGAGGTTCAAGGGAAAAGATTTATCAAAATGACAGTGGATAACGTTCCCTGACCTTCCAGAATGTGTTTTATGTGCCTAGTCTGAAGTCAAATCTCCTAAGTGTGGGACAGATGCAGGAAAAGAACCTTGCATTCACAATCAAGAAGGGAAGCTGCAGGATTTACCATGAGAAGCATGGTTTGCTGCTGCAAAAATCCATGAAATCCAACAGGATGTTTGTTCTGCAAGCCAAGCATCACACTAAAGCTGGACATCACTGTCTCAGGCTGATGCTGAAGAAAATGATACACTCAATCTGTGGCATAGACGATTTGGCCATCTCAGCAAGGCTGGCTTGCTTCAAATGGAAAAGAAAAGACTGGTGCAGGGGCTTCCAAAATTAACTGGTGAGCTTGGAGTCTGTGAAACTTGCATGATTGGCAAGCAATGTAGGACCAAGTTTCCAAAAACAGGAGCATGGAGATCCATCAAGCCACTTCAACTCCTACATGCTGACTTGTGTGGCCCTATTACTCCTGCATCCAATGGAGGAAAAATGTATAATCATGACTCTCACTGATGATTTCAGCAGAAAGCTATGTATTTATTTATTATCTGCAAAATCAGAAGCTTTAGCTTGTTTTAACGTTTCAAAGCACAAGTGGAGAATGAAACTGCGATAACCATTGCATGCCTTAGAACTGATAGGGGTGGAGAGTTCCTGTTACATGAGTTTCGAGATATATGTGAAGAAGCAGGGATTAGAAGGCAATTGACAGCTGCTCTCACCCATCAGCAAAATGGTGTTGCTGAGAGAAAGAACAAGACTATCATGAACATGGTCAGGTGTTCACTGGAGGATACCAAGGTTCCACCAACTTTCTGGCCTGAGGCTGTAGACTGAGCTACTCATATTCTCAATAGAAGTCCAACGAAAGCCAACGAGGGCAAGACACCTCAAGTTAGATGGGCTGGAAAACCTCCTCGGTGAACCATTTCAAGGTATTTGGTTGTGTGGCCTTTGCTCATGTTCATGACAGCCTAAGGAAGAAACTAGATGACAAAAGTATGAAGTGCAACTTCTTAGGACTGTCTAAAGAATCCGAAGCTTACAAAATTTTCAATCCTCTAACTAAGAGGGTCATCATTAGTCGAGATGTGATCTTCAATGAAAAGGAAGGCTGGATTTGGAAATCTGACACAGAGCCTGTCTTGACTAAACTGGTGTGGGAAGGAGCAGAAGAAGCTTGGTATGATTCAGAAGAGGATGAAGGGGATGAGAATAATGATCAAGGAGGCCATGGAGAGGAGACTGAGCCAACTAAGACCACCACTGAAGAAGAAACTGAAGAAGAGGCTGGGAGTAATTCAGTTCCCACAAATTCTGAAGCATCAGAGCCAATCACACCAGCTGCCAATGAAGAAGAAGAAGAAGAAGAAGAAGAAGAAGAAGAAGAAGAAGAAGAGAATGTGACTGATGCTTTGGGGCTCCCACTCAGCAATGAACTAGGACCAAGAAATCGCAAGTTTCCAAGTCGTTTTGATGGTTTTGACTGTGAAGGAATGCCAAACTTGACATTTGCTGAGACTGACTGATGGGCTCTAGCTGCTGTTAGTGGTGAACCAAACTCATTTGATGAAGCTGTTCTTGAAGAAAGGTGGAGGAAGGCCATGGAACAAGAGATTGATGCTATCAAAAGGAACCTTACATGGATCCTGTTTGACAAACCAGCAGGAGTGACTCCCATTGGAATAAAATGGGTGTATAGAACTAAGATGAAGGAAGATGGATCCATAGACAAATTCAAGGCCAGACTGGTTGCAAAGGGCTATGTTCAAAGATATGGAGTGGATTTTGATGAATTCTTTGCACCAGTGGCACGATGGGACAACATCTGGACCTTCCTAGCTCTTGCTGCACATCATGGTCTGACTGTTTACCAGTTAGATGTTAAGAGTGCTTTCTTGTAAGGAAATCTCACAGAAGAGGTTTATGATGAACAACCCCCAAGGTTTTGAGATTCCTAGAGAAGAAGGCCAGGTATACAAGTTACAGAAGGCTCTGTATGGCCTTAAGCAGGCCCCTCGAGCATGGTTCAGTAGAGTTGAAACTCACTTTCTGAACACTGGTTTTGAAAGATGTGAGTTTGAGCAGACATTGTTTGTAAAGAAGTTGAAAGAAGATGTGTTGATGGTCAGTGTGTATGTTGATGACCTAATCTATGCCAGCACTAGCCCTGGAATGTTAAAAGAATTCAAGGAATCCATGGAAGCTGAGTTCGAAATGTCGGATTTGGGGAAAATGAAGTTCTTCTTCGGAGTGGAAGTAGCTCAAACTAACACTGAAATTTTCATTTCTCAGCCAAAGTATATCAGTGAGCTTCTCGACAGATTTCATCTTGCAGACTGCAACTATGTCAACAATCCTATGGCTCTGGGAACTAAGTTATCAAAAGCTGGAGATGGTATTGAAGCTAGTGCAACTAATTATAAACAACTTATTGAAAGCTTGTTATATGCAACAGTAACAAGACCAGACATTATGTATGCAATGTGTAAGTTGGGGTAAATGACACATTTGGTCACTGAGACTATTAAATTGTGTCATGTTTAGTCACTAGAAAAAATTAATATCAATTTTGGACACTCGAATTACCGAAACTGGTCAAATTTAGTCACTCTCCCGTCAGTTTCCGTCCAACTCCATTAATGTAGTTGGACGGAAACTTTTGGGAGAGTGACTAAATGTGACATGTTTCAGTAATCCGAGTGACTAAATGTGACATTTTTCAATAATTCGAGTGACCGGAGTTGGACAGAGGCTACAGAAAAGTGACCAAATGTGACCTGTTTCAGTAATTCGAGTGACCAAAATTGATATTAAATTTTTCTAATGGCTAAATATGACACGATTTAGTAATCTCAGTGACCAAATGTGTCATTTACCCGTGTAAGTTGAGTAGATTTATGGATAAACCCACAAGGCTAAATATGTTGGCAACAAAGAGGGTACTTAGGTATCTAAAGGGAACACAGAAGTATGGAATTTTGTACAAAAGACAAGAAGAAGGAGATTGTCTACTTGGTTACACAGACAGTGACAATGCTGGTGACTTGGATGATAGAAAGAGTACCAGTGGTTATAATTTCTTTCTGGCAGGAGGAGCAATCTCATGGAGCTCGAAAAAGAAGCTAGTTGTCACTCTTTCAACAACAGAAGTAGAGTTTGTATTTGCATCTTTCTGTGCAGCTCAGTGTGTGTGGCTTAAAAGAATTGTGACTCAAATGGGGTGGCTGGAATGCGTGGAAGGAACAACCAAGATTATGTGTGATAATAGTTCAGCTATTAAACTCTCCAAGAACCCAGTTATGCATGGCAGAAGCAAACATATAGATGTTCGTTTTCACTTCTTAAGGGAGCTGGCCAGGAATGGAACTATTGAGCTAGAGCATTGTGGGACTGGAGAACAAATAGAAGACATAATGACCAAGCCAATAAAGTTAGAAACATTTCAATTGTTGTGCAGCAGGCTATGCTTGGTTAATGGAACTGAACTGGAGTTTGAAAGTTGATGAACTGAAGCTGCTCGAAGGCGCTTCAGTTCAGGGGAGGCTATTGAAGATGCTGCTTGATGGAACTTCAGTTTAGGGGAGGCTGTTGAAGATGGAGATACTGAAGCATTATTGAATCCGAATCTGTTTTGGAGAAGGAAAGAACTGGAGTCAAACTGTGTCGTTTAAGTACTTAAGGGTTTAGGTGTTTTCTAGACTGTGTCGTTTGGTGTTTTGCAAATTAGTCCTTAATGTTTGTTCCGAGTCTGTAGAGGTCAGTCTGGCTAAACTAGCCATTGGAGTTGTTAGCTTTTACAGAGTCAGTTGGTTAGTCTTGAAGCTAATTCCCAAGGATCGAGTAGTTAGAGTTTTTCATCAAAGCCGATTCCAAAGGGTTTAGTTGAGAGTCCATGTATAAAACTCGATTTCCAGTTAATGAATAAACTCGTCAGTTTGCATTCAACTTGCTTTCACCATGTACACTCCAACCTATCATCATCAGAGGATGGTGATATGTGGCCTTGTGCAGAGGACTAGATCAGCCGCTGATTTGTTGAAGAAGAGGATAACGAATGGTACATAATTGGAAAGGGGTGTTTGGTGAGATGACGGAGTGGTTGTAGACCATTAGGGGGTTGGGTGTTTTCCCCACTAAAACGACAACTGCTCAAATTCTTTAAAACATAAAAGGTGAGTACGCTTTATTGGCCAAGAATGCTGGTTAGTGTATATTATTTTGTCGTCTTCTAGGGCTGGAGAACTTCCTCTGGATTTCACCTCGCAGCGGCACTTCTTGCTTCTGGATTTGGAAAAGCTGCCAGCCTTGACAAATGAAACCGTGTCCCTTTCCCATCAACTCCACCATGCTTTTGGTACATCAAACCCAAGTCTTTACTTTTGAAGCGAAAAATCCGGAAGGGCAAGTCATCCCGTCAGTTTGTCACTCCGCTTTGCTTTCCCATACACCAAACCATGTCTTCTTCTACTTCTACAGTGTTTTCCTCTCCCCACCGGTTGGCTACGATTGTACTTGGTGGGAGAAAAATGGTTCCCCCCTTTCCCCACTCCATAATACCCTTCTTTCTTGCAACGAAAACCCTACAAGTTTCCTCATTGCTGGTCGCCATAGAATCCGCTTCAGAGCACAGCTTGCTTCTAATGACACGGTTTCGTAGACTTCGTACTCAAGCCCTATCCTGACGGTGGTGGTGGTGATGATGGACCAGCAGGAGGAAAGGGTCAGAGTTGGTGGAACCGCCAATGTTCAGGAGGGAAGACGGAGAAGCTCGGCGGCTGCCGAGGAGGGGCGAAAGACCAAAAATCACAAGAAAAGCCAATGAGAGGTATTCAGTTCAGTTTAATTGCCGCCAAAGCTGGAATAGACGCGATTCGCTAGCCGGGGAAAAGTTGGGCGACGGTGGTGAGCTCTACTTTACTTTGTTAACCGGTTGATCTTCCTCCTATTGCAACCTCCCCAAAACTAACTTGCTTCTCACTTTACTTGACTTACTATTGCAGGCGCAAGCTAACCATGGAGCAACAACAACATGCATAATTGACAATTAATGCAGAATCACAAAAAATGGTTTGGGAGGCTGGTGCCACTGATATCAGGTTCCCGTTCACCATTCTACATTAAAGTTGCTTCAGTTTTATTTTTTCTTCTTTGTTGGATTCAGATTGCCTTATATTGATTAGTTTGACAGAATGCGTCAGCCCAAATCAGAGGACGAGAACGCAGAGGAAAAACACAGGACCATTTTGATATAGTGGAGTTCGAACATTGAACTGAAGTGGACAATCATTCATGGTACAAATCAATGTTGTTTTATATCTTTCCCTTTATCTTTGGTTCATTTACCTTACTACCTGATGTGTTAGGCATCTTTACGAAGTTGAGATGCTTGATTGATGCTATAAAGCCTCCATTATCAATTGATGGAGCCTGCCAGTTTACGTGTCTCTTTACGCACCTGTATAAATTGTGAGATGCATTTTGGTGCAACTACTAACTACGATGTGATTACTCAATCCTTATTTCAGTTTCTACTTATACTTTGGAACCTTTGATTTGGTTTCTTAATCATTACTTGGGGACTGGTTTCTTTTCCTTTGGTGGTGTCATCTTCTTACAGTTGTTTTCGCCATCATTTGTTTGTTTAATTTTGTTTTAGGTGCTAACTCAGATTTGCTATAATGATCCAAGGTAGTTCCTTTCCATTTTTGCTTCTTTCTTTTGATAGGTAGTTCTGTTATACTACAACCACTTACCCTTTAATTTGTGTTTATGATCTGTCAAAATTGCAGTAGACCAATTGAGCTAAAATTATTGGCCTGCTATTTTCTTTCCAAGACTTTTTAGAGCTAAACTACCTAGCATCTACCAAGAGTTTCCTATACTTGGTAAGTTGGTATGCATCACTTACCGTTCAATACACGATTAAGCATGCATTTCTATTTTCACTATATATCTAGTCAGGTTTCCCTTTTCAATCCTACCATTTTCTTGCCTTGCATTAGTTCTCTTCATTAGAAGCTTGATTATATTATGTGGCAGGTTTATATATGCTACTAATTATATCTTGGTTGTTAAAAATAAAATGTATCTTATAGGTTGTTGTTTCTCTTAGAAGCCACAACAAACAAAATTTGTAAAAGATGAAAATGGTGTGTTCGTGGTGGTTTTCAATGGTTTTTTTTCTTTCTTTCTAAAAGAGCATGTGTAGCAGAGATTCGTCGATGGCTTGAGCGAGATTGGCATATTATTTTAATGCATATCTATAGAGAGGCAAACTTTGTAGCTGATTTCCTAGCTAATTTAGGCCACTCTTATCCTATAGGTTCTCATGTTATCACCGCACCTAACAGTGCGTTATCCTACTGGTTGTACTATGACACTATCGGGGTTCAAGCAACCCGCTTTGTTTTTGAATAAAGGTTGGGGCTCCCTTTAAGCGCTCCGCTTTCTCACAAAAAAAAAGAGCATATTACATTTTGTTGTGGTCCTACAAAAACTCTTACTAAGTACTATTAGTCCTTAGGCTTATCGTCGAAACTGTCTCTTCCCTTTTGAAGGCGATCCCCTATTTGTTGCAAGGACTTTGCCAACACACATACCTTTAGCTTTGGCCATCATGAGGGGCTTCAGTTACTGCAAGTGATAGCCCTGAAGTGTGCTCAGCTGCAGCATTTTGCTCATGAAGTCATCCTTGAGAGTCCAAGGAAAGTATTTTGCGTTGGAATAATGATCATAGCACATGCACATTCTCTAAACATATCCTTCCCGTTATTTGTTTTTTTTTTCTTCTTAATCCATCAGTCCCTTTTGTTTTTGTGAGTTTATCTTATGCCAACTGCAGATTTCGGTATTGGAATTATGACAACCAGAAACTGATGCATTCAGGGAAGTCTGTAGAGCATCCAACAAGTTGAAAGAAAGGTAATTAGTTGCACTTTCTTCTTCATTAAAAGTGAAAACCTACAAACCACCTCTTTTCTGGATTTGTAGGGTTAAGTATTCTTACTATTTTCCATATCTCTTGGATTTAAAAGCTGAACTCGCTGGTGGTTAAGGGGAGTTTTGTGATGCTTACTTGAGTTCTTCCTTTCTTAATGCCAACTTGAAACACAAGGGAGGTTAACTCTTATCATAGAGTGAGCTTTCAACAATTTATAGAAAATGTGTGGATATGATTGTGAGAATTTCAACCGAAAAGATTTAGCATGGTTCCTTTAATACCTTATTGTTGTAGGGACTCTAACTACCGGAAGAGAGAAAACAAGTGACCAAGGATTACCAAACAAAATACGGAGAAACTACAGGCTGCTCAATGAGGTCAAATTTGAGGAGGAAATTGGTGTGCAAGAGGAGACAGGTTGTAGGACTTCTTAGAACATCTAAAACATTTCAGGTAGTTTTCTCACTTTATGTTGACAGAACGTTCTGAACATGAAATACTAATGCAGAAATTTGTATCTTCCAAGTTCCATGGGTCAATTTTGCATGAATGCTCAAGTGAAAACCAAAAAGAGTGGTGGGGAAGGGAAGATCCAGGTGAAATTGACTACTCCAGTGAGAAACCAAACCGTCCACTGGAGACAAATACAAAAGGTGCATTTACACTATGATGTGCTTTCTCATGATGTTTGTTTTTACCTTCCCGAACAATTAAGTTTACTTTGGCATAATAAGAATGTTGCATTCTCGATTGATGCACCTTATTATGATAGGGTACAGGCCTTCATAAGATATTAGTTTTACTTCGACGGAGTGAATTGAATGTTTGCATTGTTAATTGATGCAGGAATTTCATAATGGAGGGACTTTGACAATCTCTTTACAAGTTCAGGGAATCCAAACTTCTTCACCACCATTGTGTAAATTGTTACATTGTAGGTTCATCCATTTCCATCAAACGAAATTGTCTTTTTTTTCAAAGGAAGTTTCTATAAAATGCCTATCAAGGTTGTCAACCCGCGGTCGACCCACGAGTCGACCCACTTTGACCCTAACCCGGTGAAAAAAACGGGCCGCACGCACCCGTCGGGTCGACCGCTACAAGGTACCGGGTTGAAAGTCAAATTGTGTCATTTTTTTTCTTTGGTTTGCGAAATGCGCCTATTTTCCGATTTTTCTTTTCGCCTAACTCAATCTTTGGAATCCTAAGTTGAATATTTGAATATTGATGTTGTATAAGTGTGTGTGAATTTTCACTTTATGCTGGATCTAAGTACGATATGTTATTTTGGTGTAATATTATATGTTATAACTCATATGTTATATAAGATTTGATATAATTTATAAGGATAAGTACAATATAATGACTTTTTTCATATTTCCGGGTCAAACCGGGCTAAAACGGTTGACCCATTAACCCTTGACCCACTAGTTTGACCGGGTCCGGGTCAACCCTCGGGTTGACAACCTTGATGCCTATACTTAGAGATATCTCTCATTTGTAGTAACCGGGGGAAACTACTTGGATTTTATTAATTTTTTGATATTGTGTAGTTATGAAAATATTATTAACCTTAAACATAATTTGATGATTGCGAGCACCATACTAATTGACAATGGAACTCCAGATGCGAAGGTTTGCCAATTATACTTCCAATATTGTGAAATTCAACTAGGGATGACAATGGGGCGGGTTTGTCTAAACCATCCCCATCCCCATCTTCAAATATCCAAACCCATACCCGCCCCATACCCATGCGGGGGAATGTGTGACAAACCCATTCACATACCCGTGGGTTTCGGGTACCTATGGGTAATACCCGTACCCATACATCCAACATTATTATCCTAAACTTTATAAGAAAAGTTTTAACCACAACTCTAAACGTACCTATTATATCACGAATTCAACAAAACACGATCATTTTCTTAATACGGTTCAAAGAATATGATCCTAAAACATTCGTTAATACATAATATAGAGTATAATATTTTTAAATTGTTATGTTCTAACTCTGATACATCTACTAAGTAATAATTAACTAACATAATTTTGTTGACAAGGGAGAAAGTGAAAGAGTGAAAGGGCCCATAAAAAAAAAGTGAAAGGAGAATTAATGGAAATGAATTAGGTTTTGATTCAGGTGGTCACTCAATTGCATTTCTACTATTTATTTCCTCGAGTTATCCTCATCATCATTGATAGATTACAATTTGATCCACATATTTTTGTACATGTGATGAAATTCTTTTGGTGGGGTGGATATGGGTATGGGGCGGGGGAGGCTAAAACCATACCCGCCCCATACCCATCAAACTTTTCGTGGGTTTTACCCATGGTTAAAAAAGGCACGCTTAATCTTACGCTTAGGCATTCCTAGGCGCAAGGCAATGGCAAAACGCCTCACCTAGGGGTTTCACCCCTAATTAAATACTGGAATTCGTCAATGGAGTAACGCGGCATATAAGTCTATCCTAAACATTAATAGATGGAGTGAGAAAGACAATATTAAAGGATAAAATCAACGTTAACTACGAAATCAATTTTCTATATCAATATTTTCAATAGCTCAAGAACTTCGTGAGCTTTTGAGCTATGATTTTATAAATTTGTGAGCTATGTTTTATTAATCATTTTTACTAAAATGAGAAAAGGTAATAGATTATTATTTCATTCATCATGCAGTGTGAATAGCTATTTTTCTTCCAACGCCTAGGCATGCTTAGTCTACGCCTAGGCGAACTAGGAGTTAGGCAAAGTCTCAACGCCTGCCTTACGCCTAGCGCCTTTTTGAACCTTGGTTTTACCCATACGGGCCATACCCGCCCCATGGGTTTGATTGTCATCCCTAAATTCAACACAGTGACAAGAATACAACAAACTTAATTGATGGAACTCAGTTTGCCATTAACTGAATTGCCAGTAACCAGGTAGGATAAAAAAGGTAGGGTCATCAGGTAGGTGGGGGTGGTCGTTGTATGATTATGCTAATGCAAATTCAGTTCTTGCGGCGTAGCCGCGGGTATTGATTCTAGTCTAGATAACACGGGTCTTTGCCTCCTTTGATCATACCATTTCGGTTCCAGTTTTTAGCGGGCGAACGACAGATACTGTATGATTTTTTTAATCCTTGATATTATTATACCTAGAACAAATACAAGAAAGATATAACCATTATTAGTTCAAATTCAAAGCATTTTGCTCTACAACATCTATTAGTTTATAAGACAATGATTACTTTTAATATCCAATCATTATATATTAAAAATATATATAGATATATTATTTGTGTGGTTGGAATGAGTACGAGTATAGGGAGGGTAGTCTAAAATCATACCCACCTCATCCCATTATTTGTTTTGCGGGTTTAACTCATACCCGCATCATATACAATCATTGTTCTTGTTGACAGGGTTGAGTACAATTGGGTACCCATAATCTTGGGTATAATTGCTAACAAATGGTAACTCAGAAGAAATTATGTACAAGACACCAACTTAGAATTAGGTCGGCATCATATTATGTTGGAGAGTTCATTATAAATTATAGGCAAAATACATTTGTGTAGCCAAAACTTTCACGTGTGTGCCACTAGCCACTTTTGGCGAAATACCACTTATAGCCACTTTTTAAAGATGTTGCGTGCCAGATATAGCCATTCCCGTTAGATACTTTAACGGTGTCACTAACGCCGTCAACTTTTTGGACAGTTTGTTGACTAGGCGCCAACTCAACGCCATGTAAGTCGAAAGTGATACGTCTCAATTACAATTTATTTAATAATTACATGTCATATTAATAAATAATTTAATTTTCCCCAATTTCTTCTATCTCCCTGATACCACGTCATTTTTTATTAAAATAAAGTTTTATAAATATACAAAATAAAACAAACGATCTTCTTCCTCACCTCATCCCCAATTCCATCTACAGCTCCTTCACCACCCAAAACCTTTGGCGAAAAACCTTTCCCTCTCCCTCTCCTCCCTCGCCGCTTCTGTCATCGTCTCTGCCGTTCTTGCCTTCTACTTTTGCAGCCGCAGCCGGAGCGCCAACAAGCCCCGAATATACTCTATGAATCCAGATCGGGGCTCCGGATCCAGTCACAAGCTCCGCCCGACGAATACCAGCTTCGAGTTTTTGTATCTCAGGACGCTTGTGAATCCACATGGGATTGGGGATGGTGGCGGGTCCAATCTTGTTGCTGCAGTCGAGTCTCCGATGTTGGGGAAGATGGAGTCCGGAGCTTTGGGGTTGCCCAGCCACAAATCTTTGCTTCCTCCTCCACTTGAAATCGCCAGTGAAAAGAGGCTTTCTTTAAGTCTCTCCCTTGATCAGAAGATGAGAAGTGACAGCCCCCTCCTTCTTCTTTGTCTTCTTCTGTGACCAAGGTCACAATTTCAATTAGGGATGCGTCGGGGCTGCCGGGGCGGAAGAGAGAGAGTAGCGAAGAGAGAAAGGGGAAAATGAAAAGGGAGGGATGAGTGGTTTCATTCCTTTTTTTTTTTAAGTTAATCCACGTGTGTATTTACAAACAAAATTGAAGATAAGAGTTTGCCACGTCAGCATCTCCGTTTGTCCAGTCACACTTGACGTTAACAGCGTTAAAGAATTGGAAGGAAGTGGCTATAAGTGGTATTTCGCCAGAATTGGACGGAAGTGGCTATAAGTGGTATTTCGCCAAAAATGGCTATAAATGACACAAACGTGACAGTTTTGACTACACAAGTGTATTTTGCCTAAATTATAAATTAGCTGATTATCGATCTGTCCAATTCACGTAAACTTAATGGAGAAAAAATAAACGTAAAATACACACATGGGCTTAGCAAATGCACGAGAGGATACTCGTAATCGACCTGACAAAATCATGATCACCATGTACACTGTTCTCAATATCTATCTACCTACGTATCTAATAGCTTTCCAATGCCTCTAAAATCTAGGACGGAAAGCCAGAATTCCTTCTTTTAATCATAGTAGAATTTATGTTCTTGCTGAGACATTATATTCAGCAGAGAAGCTCTCGATTTGATCAGTGGCGGATCTAGAACACAGTAGAGCACTGGGCCGCATTTTAATATAATATTATATACCGTAAACAAAAATAGTCAACATTTTAAAATTTTAGTATTTCAAATAAAAAAATAGTTACCAAAATCACCAACGCTAACAGACAAATGACTAATATTTTAATGCATTACAAAAGATTTAGCTAATATTTTGTATTTCAAAAGATTTGGCTAATAATTTGGAAAGTCTAAAAGGTTTGACTAATAAATTGTATTTATCCAAAAATATATGATAACAATAGTTTTCATTCATTACAATGCCAATTGTAATAGAAGGTTTTTTAATTCTGCAAATCCATCAATAATATAGAATCTCCATACATATCAATAACATACTCTCTCTCAAAGAAAATAGCTAAGCAATCAACGAGAAATTCATCGAGCATTTTGTTGTGCAAATTAGTGTTCACATATTTCATTGCTTAAAATGTCCTCTCCATGGTAGACGTTGAAACGGGCAAGGTCAACACTAGACGAATCAACCAACAAATCAATTTGTTTAGAGAGTTTTCTTATTTCAATGAAACTTTTATACACTCTTTTACATTTTAGACCTTTAGGTTTTATTGTTTTTTTTTCCTATGAAAATCATTCGGGCTAGAATTCATAGACTAAACTGAGAGTAATGGTTTGCATATGTTCATTTAGACTATTTTTCTAACTACACAAAATTTATTATCAAATAACATTCGATCAACCATTAAATAATACTGGATCGAATACCTAAAATCGAAAATTTATAAGCTCTATACTAGCTCTGGATCCGGCGGAGGGCTGGACCGTGACCCGAGTTGGCCCAGCCCTAGATCCGCCGATGGATTTGATCAACCTCCTGAAAACACCCTCCAAACCGGCCTGAGTTCAGGTCCTTAAACCCTCTTTCTTAAGGAGGATCTTAAAGCGTTGTGATTGTTTATTCAATTTTTAGTAGTTAATGAGAAGTTATTAGTTAATTAGTTGGTAAGGGTATTCAGGAAATTATAATTAAATTAAAAACGTAACCCTACTAATGTATAAATCCACCTCCCGTCTCTTTTTCCTCCCTCCCAGCCGAATTGTTTCTCTGATAACGTTCTCGTCAAAACACGTTCTCTGGCCGTCCCTTCCGATGCCTTTTCCGGCAAGCCCTTCTGCTCTCGCCGTCGGCTCCCAAATTCCGATTTTCCGTAAACCGAAATCAAGTTCCCGTTTCCACCAAATCCGAACTCTAGCTTCCATTGC